ATGTTAGTTTCTCGGATGGTTTGATTGATGTTCTATTGTAATCGATTATTGTTCTGATTTATTTTTGATGTTTTATAGGTTTTGTCTATTATATTACGATTAACAAGGTAGTTTTCCAAAGTGTTATTGTATTAGTGTTTTTAATGTATTTTATTGTAATTGTGTTTGGAAATATTTTGTTGGATTCACGATGAGCCACAACAATTAGACGGGTATTTTTAAGTATTTTGTTAGATTTTGATGAATTTAAAATAATGACCCACGATTGATTTTTGATCTTTGTTGAGAAAATCTAGGTAACAAGGGTTTGTTACAGTTAACAATTTGCTACGAAAAACTTATTATTCTATCAGATTAAATTAAAAACAGTATCAATAACTAGTAATAGTATGTATTGTTATCTGAATTTCAAGAATTCAAAGCTCGTTCAACAATTCTCCAGCATAACTCTCTTTTTTGTAGATCTAAAATTACTCATTTCCAGCCGAAGTCTCCACTTGAAGATGGAGATGGATCTTCTTCTTCGCCATTAAAATTTTGAAAATGCTTCAAAGTTTTTGGTGAGAGAAGAAAAACATAAAAAGATTTTATTCATTTTGTTTTTAACGTGAAATCTATCAGAAAAAGAGGTAAAAGTCACGGATTTCTTTTACTCATGTTTTAGACAAGAAAGTCCATTAAAATCCATTCTAACTAAAATCTCCTAAAATCAAGGCTTTTTGAATAACACTTGTTTTTATTGTATTTTAGAATACATCAAACAAATGATTAATCCAATAACAAGAGATTTTAATGTATTCTATCAAATAAAATTATATAACACGGATTTCACTTTGATTTTAAAATATATTAAAACAACTAATTCAATAAATCTCTTTCCTTTTTGTATCATTCTTCCATTTCATAATGTTCACGATTGTGTTTTTTTTGTGGATTATTTAGTTTATCTTTATGCTACGATAAATTGATAATGAATTTACAATATTTGATTAAATTGACCGCATAGTTTACCCATCGCGAGGAACAACACCGATGCATCACAAATTCTGTGACTAGACTACCTACAAGCATAGGAGCCAAAACATCTCCYACCGACAACAAGAATAGACTCCTCGAACTCTTCAACGAGACACACGATGAGGATGAAGAAAAAAGAAGAAGATGAGGACGTGGCAATGCGTGTTTCTGGCTAAGAACACCGGTTAGATCTTCAACGCCGACGACTCTATGTTACCGTCACTATGACTGTAATTTTAACACCAGCATATTCGTTGAGTGCATATATTGCTCACCAACGATGTCATATGGCCCATGACGCAATGTCACAGGTACAAGACATCACACGACGATATATTTGTCTGTAACCCTAATCTAACTCATAAACACATCATTTTCTAGAGCGACATTACGCATTTACATAATTGTTTGTTATTCAA